ACTTCAATCTTTCCGCGTTGCGGGTGAGCTAGCACACACCTTCGACCTGACCAGTCTAGCCGACATCCAAGCTCGATAAGCTGTCCTAGGGAAACGATCGGCTCAGCCTCTTGGTCAGTGACAAGTGTGCCTAGTGAGTTGACCCATAACATCGCGGAACCTGACGCGAGATTTACTTCATGTCTCCTGAGAGCACTCAAGTCCTCGCCCTCAAGCTTCGGTCTAAGGCACGCGCTTGCACCGGAATCGATCAGGCCATACTTGCAACTAAGGCCCGGGCCATCCGGCACGCCCAGATGGGCTGCGTCAGACGGCTCAAAACTCGCGCGGTCGTTTTGGAACAACTCTGGCACCAACTCAGCGCCGACATTGAGCGCTTTAAGCTGCAGGGACCGCAGCAAGTTCGTGGCCTCTTGCATCATTTGGGCGCTTGATGCTCCCAACTGCCCCTCCCCCGAACCTGCACTAGCAGCCTGGGCGGACTCCGCGGCGCTTGCAGCCTCAGCCTTCTTAGCGCTCTTGGTTCCCCCCTTACCCTTGGCTTTGGGCAGGGTATCCTCAACCTTAGCAGCTTCAGGGTTTTTGCGGGGACATGCATCTTTCATGTGACCAGTGGCACTGCATAGAAAACACCTGCCAGTTCCCTTACCTATGGGGGCATGCGTAAAATGACATTTATCGGCATAGTGACATCCAGCTTCAGTCATCCAGTGCTTGCATGCTGGCTTAGGATTGCCCTTTCCACCCTTACCACCACCCTTCGCTTCAGCACCCTTCCCCTTGGACTCCCCACCACCCGGCGTCTCGACCCGAGCAACCTTATGTTTCTTGGGGTCCTCACTCAACGCTGCAGCCTCGCACTCGGCCAACAAAAGCTCAGCGTACTTACTGACAGCATCCTGGTTGGGAACTTGGTCAAGCAAGTGGTTCGTCCTAAAGGTTTGAAGGCGAAACAACGAAGAGGTGGACAAATTCGGAGGATGAAGACTGTCTAGACCTTTCACCTGCAACGACGGGTCTGGGAGATTCAGGCCAACCTCAGTCGATCTGACAATCCAACGACGCCATTTCCTGATAGCCTTGACTGCGGCATGCGCAGTTGCACTGCTTCCTGGGTGTGTATTGTAGTTAAGCAGTTGTTCACGCTCTGCACTTCCCCCAGGTTGGTACTTACACATGGTCTTGTACACGATTGCAGCGGTCGAAAACAATCTAGACGTAACTATGTCCTCACGCAAATCTGCACCAACACATTTCAGCAACATGGGCACTGCTTTCTGCTCTACCCTACTGAATCTACCGGTTTGGTGAAGTTCAACGAGGGCTTCGGGGTAAATACTAAGTCGGTCGAGGGGTGACGCGAGTAGCCAACGTGTGTACAACTGTTTCGCCTCACGCAACACGTCTCCCCACCACTCACGCGCGCCCTGACTCAACGACGACATGGTGGGACCCAACGTTGCCAGCCAATCACCTGCAGTAATACTGGAGTTAGTAGGATCATACTTGTCAAGTTGAGGAAGCTCAGGCACGTACTTGATGGGTTCTTCAGGTTGCATTTCGGCTTGAGCTCTAAGGCCTGGAGGTGGGGGTGGCCTAATTTCAGTACCTCCTGGGCTCACTGGGTACTTCAACCCACTGCTGACACCTACGGCCTTTCGAGCAGGGCTACTTCTACCTCTGTCCTGACCGGGCTGCTTTCTTAAGAATTCGGGAATGGGTGGAGGCTCACCGGGACGCAAGGCATCTTGATACAGCTGAACATAGTTCTCATACCCAAAGTTACCCATGTCAAGAGGTCCTGACAAGCTTGCAGCAGCTCCTCCAGATTGACGAGCTCTTTGAGGGCTTTCACTACGAGTCCTAGGCTCTCGTCCTCGCTTTGGGGATTTATCGGGAGTGACGGGTACGAAGGGTGACCTAGCCCTTGGGTTCAAGACCTCAGCTACGGACACGGCCCTTGCCGGTCGTGTTGGGGCCTGTTTCTCAAGTTTCAATCCTTCGGGCGTGACTCGCCAGGCGTACTTTGACCCTTCCACTTCCACCACACCCGCACTTGGAGCCTGGGCCTGGGCCTCAGTTGGTGGTCCCATTTGACCCCCTCTCCCATCCGACCCCGTCCCAGTTTCCCCAAGGTTAGCCGGCTTGCCTGTCACAGCTGGTGTGCCAACGAACTGAGGAGGAAACACAGCCTTCGGACGTGGCTCAGGGACACTAGAGCTTGCACCCGCAGACGATGACGATGCTTTGGAGCTCTCCAGCTTATCCATTCGCTCCACCAAAGACTGTTGGCCTTGCATCAGTACCCGTAGCATTGATGCCAGATCGCCAAAGGGATCTGTAGCCACTGGCTGTACTGGAACCAGTTCGCGATCATCTTCCGCTTTTATAGCCCCACGTTCCATGGCCGAAAACTCGCTGTCACCTGTAACGCTAAAATGTCCAGGTGATGCTTCTCTGGCAACTTGTGCCTCCGGTTCCTGTGGCTGTGTCGCCAGCGCAACAGGGTCAATACGAAGTACTTCTGCATGACACGGAGCTAGTTCATGAGGCACATCATCCCTGGCTGTGCTTGCTGCGGCCTCAGGAGTTTCCTGGGCTTGAGGTCCAAGCTCATATGGCGGTTCACGTTCTGACTCATCGCCTTCCCTAATGGCTGCACCTCGTTCCCCAGGGTCGTCCTGCACGACCTGTTGTGCACGGCGAAATTCCTGCTGTACTGCATCTGACCAGAAAGGGTTCGGGAAGTTTGCCATGGCAAGGTCTACTTTCTACAGGGCCCTTTTACTTAGCGTTGGGCTCATAACCCTCGCGTGGGCAGGAAGCTCCACAGCGGGGTTACGCAGGGCTCTCTTTTTGCCACCAAGCAGCAACACAAAACAAGGCAAGAAAAGACATGTTCTGATAGGAGTCTGTGTCCTATGACTTCTGCCTAAATGCTGTACACTATACATATTGGCTTCTTTTCGAAAAGAACAGTGTGCTGGTGACAAGGGCTCCTATTCCGTAGACCTGAGCCAATGCCACAGATAAGCCAAGTCTCATTGACTCTAACTGGCTGCTCACTCACTCGCGAGGGTTTAGGGTTTAGGGTTTAGGGTTGAGGGTTGAGGGTTTAGCCCCCCCCCCCCCCCCTTTAAGAACCCGAAAATCTATGCGTGTAGGCTTAAGGGTCTAGGGTCCAACATCTATCACTTTAGGCTTTAAGGGTTATGGCGTTTAGTAGGCTGAGCGGTCCTGAACCCTAAACCCTAAACCCTAAACCCTAAACCCTAAACCCTAAACCCTAAAGCCTAAAGCCTAAGCCTAAACCCTAGACACCTCAAAGCACCCTTAAACCACAAGGACGCACAAGGCACATGCTGCAAAGGAGGTCAATCCAGATGCCCAAGCTACATGTTCTGAGAGCTCCGCGAATCCAAATAGCGCAGGCGAGTGGTAGCGAGGGCGAGTGCTCACGACTCAATTGTCCCTCTTCCTGGAGAGCAACTTCAAGATCTCCGGCTCCTCCAGACGCCTCTCTTTGGCGAACATCATCTTCAAATCATTGCACATCCCTACCTCAGACTTGGCTCAAGCCTGGTTGGAGCCTGGCTTCTGGGGTTGAGGGTTTTGGGTTTAGGGTTAAGGTTGCAACCCTAAACCCTAAACCCTAAACCCTAAACCCTAAACCCTAAACCCTTTTGAAGGACCCTGAAGAAAGTGTTGTAAGGGCCAGAACAGGAGTGTAAGGACGGACCCCTAGAATGGACCCTTAAGCTTATTCCCCTCAATAACCCACCTAACCCTTATATATATATATACATATATATATATACGTATATATATATATATATATATATATACGTATATATATATATATATGCACACCTCTGATGTAGTCCCTATATACCAAAGAAGTCCCTCCTTTAGTCCCTTGCTTCTGGGACTGGGGGAACCCTTTTTCGGGGTACAGCCTTAGGGGTACGAGACGGTTGGAGACTGGCCACTTGTTGTGCAAGTCTTGCGCAGGATTTAGGGTTTAGGGTTTGGGGTCGGGGATTTAGGGTCTACACGTTTAGGGTTTGGGTGGGACGTGCTTAAGGTTGAAGCTAAGCTAAACCCTAAACCCTAAACCCTAAAACCTAAACCCTAAACCCTAAAACCTAAGCCCTAAACCCTCAAGACAAATACATAGAAATTGTATGTGGTATCATTATGAATTTCCCAAGTTTTTTGTCTAAACACCTGACAAACCGAGTTTAAGTAAATTCATTCAAAGCGCTTCTGGGAGGCAAACCGTTCAATTTACTTAAACCACTGGCGTCCAACCCTCCAAAACAGAAAGCCCCAAGCACCAAACCCCCCAATGGCGGGCCCAAATCATACCCCAAATTGGGGCCCCCAAGGACGCCCCGCGAGGCCCCAAATTAAGCCCCGGGAGGCCTCCAAATTAAGCCCCCGGAGGCGCCAAATTGGGCGGGGAGCCCTGGACCCAACTCAGACCCCAAATTAAGCACCTGAAATCAAGCCCCGGGATAGGCCCCAAAATTTGCCCCAGAAACCCAACAAAACCCCGCGGCCCCGGAAGGCTTCAAATGAGGCCCCCAAATTAGGCCCGCGAAGCCCCCAAATCGGCTCCAAATTAAGCCAAATCAGGCACAAATTAGGCACCGGGAAGCCCTAAATTAGGCGGCTGGGAGGCCCCAGACTAAGCTTCGGAAGGCCCCAAAGCAGGCCCCGGGCGGCTCAGACCTTCACCCCCCTCTGCCTCTCAGCCCGCCCCCCAAAAAAACGAAAAACATGATTCCAAAAGAAAACACTTTCGCTCAAAACTCTTTGGGACCCAAACCCTATACAATTTCTATGGGCCATAAAACCCTAAACCCTAAACCCTTAACCCTAAACCCGAAACCCTAAACTCTAACCCTAAACCCTAAACCCTCAACCCTAAACCCTAAAGCCTACACCCTGACTCCCCCCCCTCTCTCCCCCCAGCACAAAATGGCGGAGCTCCCGGCGTCGTAGGCCGGCGACCAGCCGGAGGACTTGAGGAGGTCCAGGCCTCCATTTAGGGTTTAGGGTTTAAGGTTTAGGGTTTGGGGTTTAAGGTTTCGAGTTTAGGGTTTAGGGTACAGGCCTCCATGAAATTAGGCCCTTCAAGGGCTTAGGTTTTAGGGTTTGGGATTTAGGGTTCCGGGTTTGGGTTTGGGGCTTAGGGTTTAGGGGTTTAATAAGGGTTCAAGGGTTTAAGGGTTCAAGTGTTCAAGGGTTTAAGGGTTTGAGGGTTGAAGAGTTTGAGAGTTTAAGGGTTTAATGGTTCAAGGGTTTAAGACTTCAACGGTTCAAGAGTTTAGGGCTTCGGGTTTTTTGGTAAAAGGGCCTCCGGACGGGTTTAGAGGGGTACGGGGTTGACGGTTTAGGGCTTGGCTCTGCTTTCGAAATTCGGCCCTTGAGGATTTCTTAAGGGTTTAGACTGTTTAGGCGGGCTGTTCAGGGCTTTCTGTAGGGTTCAGGGTTTAGGAGTTGGAGGGGTATAGGGCTTAGAGTTCTTTAGGGTTTAGGATTTGCTTTGTTTCTTTGGACTTCGGGCTTCATACGTTTTAGGGTTTAGGGTTTAGGGCTTCATAGGGTTCAGGGTTTCGGGCTTTGCGGGGTATAGAGCTTAGGGCTTCTCTAGGGTTAGGCTTAGGGGGTGATTCCAGGGGCTTACAATAAGAATCCGAAAAAGCCCCCAGTCACACAGTCAAAAAGACCTTATGGCGTGCGGAAGACTTATGTTATGCACGCCCTATGAGGTGAAGTATATTTGTATGGACGGCCAAATATATTTCTTTAAGGACCGACAATTCTTGCTAATGAAGCTAAGCCCCCGTAGAAGAATAATAAACACACGGCCTGTTCTCTAGCACTTCGTTCTCTCTTACAAAATGTTAAGTGTTACCGCGCCCAAAAAATTTTAAAAAGCGCATGCGCTACGGTCACACGTTAATATTACCGATGGGGTATAGAGCCTGGGGGATTTTTAGGATGTCGGGCTTGTTTTGTTTTTAGGATTTAGGGTTTAGGGTTTAGATGGGTGTGGGGCTGAGGGCTCTCAAGGGATTAGGGTTCTGGAGGGTTTAGGGTTTCGGGGTTGGAGGGCAAAGGGCTAAGGGTCCTTCAGGGTTGGGGTTTGTTTTGCTTATTTTTAAGGTTGAGGGGGCTTCATAGGGATTAGGGCATTATAGGTTTTAGGGTTTAGGGCCAGTTTGGTTTGGATTTAGGTCAAGGGGGTTTTAGCCGTTTCAAAGCCTTATAGGATCTAGGGTGTTGATAAAGGCTTAGAGTTTAGGGAGCTCTAATCCACCCTAAACCCTAAACCCTAAACCCTAAACCCCAATCCCTAAACACTGGAAGGACGAGCGTAGATAAGAGGGAGAGTGCAAGTGGGAGTTGATCCAAAGACCTGCTCCCAAAATTTTCCTAAATCCTGTTCCCCAGAAAATCACCCTATACTTCCCGTGTAGACCAACTTAGAAACCCCGAAGATTTACCAGAAGGACCTCTACTCATTGCATAAGCAGCTCGAAAAAATGAAAATATTCTTCCTTATTAAGGTTAATATAGGGATGAAATGTCTTTTTTCAAAATTCTTTTGGGGTTCTTAAGCACATAGACAACAAACCCTAGCAGGTGGAGAGTAGGGTTTTTGGGGCATCCTAAACCCGAAACCCTGAACCCTAAACCCTAAACCCCAAACCCCAAACCCTAAACCCTAAACCCTAAACCCCAAACCCTAAACCCTAAACCCTAATATTCGGGGGAATAAGGTTTTTGGGGGCATCCTGTGGCGCCGGGGGTACGAGCCCGGCTGGCCATCCTCGTTTCGGGCTTAGGGGTATAAGCAAAGCAAATAGGGTTTAGGGTTTAGGGTTTAGGGTTTAGGGTTTAGGGTTTAGGGTTTAGGGTTTAGGGTTTAGGGTTTAGGGACCGACTAGATCCGACTGCAATCCCTGTCTTCAGGCTTAGGGTTTAGGGTTCAGGGTTTGGGGTTTAGGGTTCAGGGTTCAACCCAAAAAAGGGAACGGCTAGAAGATGCTTCAACCCAAAAACTTACTTCTCCAATAACCAAGGGGGAAAAAGGGTTATTCCTACTAAATAAGGAGACCCAAACAGTTTAAAGTTCAACTAAAGGCGAAGTGAGAAAAAGTGAGCGGCCAGAAGATCCCGAAACCCCAGGCCCTAAACCCTAGACACAGGGTATAGGGTTTGGGTTAGAACAGGATTGTACTTGGGTGGGTACCTCCCCTATTTTTCCAAATCTTAGGTTTCTTTCGTGCTTTGGGTTAAGTATTCCGAACTCCCATTCGGGGTACGTACATAACTCTGTGAGCTACCTGGGCCATTTGACAAACTCAGCCCTGCTTGAGACACCACTGCCCGCAGTGCGCGACCTAATGCAGAGAACGGCCCGCGTACCACCCGGCGACCACGCGATTTCATCCTGAGGCCCCCGACATATCTGTCCGTCTGGGAAGACGTTGGGATGGAAGACCTCCCAACAGGCTCCAATACCGACACCTTTAGCCCGCCGAAGCCGAAAACTTGTCACAAGCCACCCAATTAGGGTTTAGGGTTTAGGGTTAAGTTTAGGGTTTAGGGATCCAAAAGCCCTTAAACCCTCAGCCTTGAAACCCTCAGCTCTAAATTCGAGGGCTTGAAACCCCAAACCTTATAACCGACACCATGAAATCACAAACCCCAACCCCGTAAACCGTAAACCGTAAACCCTAAACCCGTAAACCCTTCATCCTGGAAGCTTCGGGTTCCCAGGTCAGTCAAGGTCTACAGTTTAGGGTTTAGGGTTTAGGGTTTAGGGTTTAGGGTAAACTCCAAAAAGTTGGAACATCCTTATCCCCATACCCAAAAGGTATACGAAAGGGAATCCCAGCTACAATCATCCTTCAACAAGATTCAAAATTTCTGGAGGTTACTGTAATTAAGTCTAGGACGAGTAGGAGGGCCTAAGGGTCTAAGGCTCGAGCCCTTGGTGCCTTGGGTACCCTTGACAGACGGTTCGGGGTTGAGGGTTTAAGGGCTGAGGGGTCGGGGTTTAGGGATTGATAACTTGGAACTATCAACGACTTCTGGCCATCTAGGTGTCCTGAACGTGCACGAAGGCGTCTCCCTGAACCAAGGGGGTGTTTCATAGCTTCTCTCAGAACCTTACGGGACCTTTAAAGCCCGCAAGCCCCTGAACCCTAAACCCTAAACCCGAAACCCTAAACCCTAAACCCTAAACCCAAGAAGGCGGTCGCCTCTGTCTGGAAGCGCACATCGGGTGGCTTCTGTGGATACTCGGTCCTCGCGGGGGTGTTGCTTTGGGAGTTGCAAGAAGGGTTTAGGGTTTAGGATTTAGGGTTTAGGGTTTAGAAAGAAGCCCTGACCTTGTCGTGCCACCTGCCCAGCTGATGACTGCGCAGCATTAAACCCTGAAGCCTGGACCCTACTTGGAGGTTCATTGTACGTAATAACAAATTAGAACTGTACTTATCACCCACTTATAAGCCCCTTAAGTGCCCTAATATGGTTATAAGTACAGTTATAAGTACAGTTAACAAGTACCATGAACCTCCAAGAAAGTTCCTGGATCCACCCAACCCTTCCTCCCCACCTCTGTTGGAACTTAGACTCGAAAGTGTCACGTGCCACCCCCTCCCCCCCTCCCCCCCCACTCCAGGGGCCCGAGTCCCTGGACACCATCCCTGTTTCAGGGTTAGGGTTTAGGGTTTAGGGTTTAGGGTTTAGGTTTAGGGTTTAGGGTTTAGGGTTTAGGGTTTAGGGTTTAGGGTTTAGGGTTTAGGGTTTAGGGTTTAGGGTTCAGGGAGCCCTTCAACCCATCCTCCGGTCGTAAACTCATACACCTTCAACCCTAAGCCCTCTTGAAACTCCCTATAGCGCCCCCTTGAAGAACTGCAAAGCCAAATTGTCCACAAGCTGTTTGGAACGTCTGATTTTTGCAGACGTCTAAAACGTCACCATGTACTTCACACACTCGCCAAGGCATCTTCCTGTCCAAGCCCCGTCTTCGGACACAACGAGTCATGGTCATGCAGCCAGGGCATTGCCCCCCGGGGTTTAGGGTTTCGGGTTTAGGGCTTCACTTCTTGGGCCCACTATGATTGCAAGAATTGCGGTCTATAACGCTTATCAGGCTCGCAAAGCTGAGGTTCTGGACCAGCTCTAATGAAACGATGGTCTCCCTCCAGACCTCCAGCCCTCCGGGGTTTTCGGGTTGAGGAAAAACCCTAAACCCTAAATAACCCTAAATAACCCGAAATAACCCTAAATAAAGCTAAACCCTAAACCCTAAGGGCTGGGTTGGCCGAAGGGCCGGTTTCGGTTTCGGCGTCTTTGGCTAGGGCCGAAGGCTTTCCCTGGGTTTAGGGTTTAGGGTTTAGGGTTTAGAGTTTAGGGTTATAAGCCTTGAACCCCAAACCTTGGGATGTTCCCCTTATACGAAGAGTCCTTGCTAGGGGTCATAGCAGGGGGGGTACTATAATCCCTCTTCAGGACTGTTAGTAAAAGGGGGAACATCCCACGCCAAACCCTAAACCCTAAACCCTAAACCCTAAACCCTAAACCCTAAACCCTACACCCTAAACCCTAAACCCTACTTGGCAGCTGGGGCCCCGGCGAGAAGGACAGCACCAACTTCCACCTTCAGCTTAACCTACGACTTGCTTCAGAAACCCAAAAAAATTGAAAATGTTCTTCCTTATAAGGGCAATATAGGGATTACTAACTTTTTTCTTTTTTCTTTTGGGGTGGGAGGGTGGGTTCTTAAGCAAACAGTAGTAACAATGGGGTGTCTAGGGTTCCTTGCGAGTTGAAAGTCCTCTTCTTGCTAGCCCCAGTAGCGATATTACACAAAGTGTCTATGTAGGGTTTATAGGGTCTGGGGTTGGTTGCTTGATAAGGGAGCCTAGAACCAAAGTACAAGGGCAAAAGGGTACCACTGGGCCACCAAGTTTTCTAGGGAGTTTGGGGCTTAGACTCATGGAACAGGAAGCTGAATTCAACTCTTTGCTTAAGAGCACAAAAAAACAAACAATTCTTCCTTATGAGGGTAATATAGGGTGGTTTTTGTCTGCGTTTCTTAACATGGTCCTCTAACGGGTTATGAAGTATGCGACCCTTGGGTTGTATAGGGTATATGCGAGGTCCCCATAAAGCCCATACTAAGGGACCACGTAACTACCCCAAGATTCTGCGGGTTGCTAAGCAATAGTGAAGAGCGGAAGGCGCAGGAGTATCCACCAAAGTGCCAGCCTAAACCCTTCAAACCATGAAGCCAACAGACGCCTGAAGCCAATGTTCTTGGATGGGAAACCAAGGTTTTTAGGGTTTCAGGGTTTCCGGTTTAGTTGGGGTGTAGGGTTTAGGGTTTCGCGGCTCAGGGTTCAGGGCCCCCCTCATGGAAAACCTACGAAGCTGCCCTTGGTTTAAGTGGGTTTAAGCAGGGGGGGGGGGGTCGGCTTGACTTGCCAAATTTCTAGTTCATGGTTGGGATAAGAGTAAAATCTACATGTGTATTCCTTATAGGGTTTAAGTACTAAATGTGTATTCCTTATAGGGTGTAAGTACCCTTAAACATGTAAAGTGGTACCCAGCTATGGCAAGAATTTGAAGCACCCTCAAGTGTACAACCCTCCAGCGTGACCTAACACTCCTAGACCCGGGAGTAACCTAGGAAGAAAAAGGGCGCCCTTTTTCGTTTTAAGGGGATTATAAGGGAACCCCAACCCCAAAATAAAGGGAAAAAAGGGCCTACTCCCGGTCCTGGACTCTAAGCCCTGAGGCTGATCAAGAGCTGCTTCGAGTCTTTCAAGGCCCGGGCACGCCGCCCTCCCATGCGGTGCCTGTCCGCAGAGAGAACTTCGGTTTTGGGCTTAGGGTAGAAGGAGTGGATCCCTCAACCCTAAACCCTAGCCCTAAACCCTAAACCCTCTTTTCCGATGGTTTTTGAACCAGGGGAAACGCTCCGTAACAAAGTGGCGCCTTTTTTTGAAGGGGAAACGCTCCTTAACAAAGTGCCTTTTTTCTTATTGAAGGGGGACACTCCGTAACAAAGTGGCGATTTTTTTAAATATGTTCGGATGTGGTGGGGTTCTTTGGGCGGGTGGGTGTTGGTCGAGAGAATGGCTGGACTAGACTCGTCATGCTCAGAACTGCTGAGCCCTAAACCCTAAACCCTAAACCCTAAACCCTAAACCCTAAACCCTAAACCCTAGAACGGTCTGGGCCACCTGCAGGGCTTCACGTCCAGCCTTCTCTACCCACTTTTAGGGTTTGGGGTTTAGGGCTAGGGTATAGAGTATAGGGTTTAGGGTTTAGGGTACGGGGGCAACCGAAAGGGAACAGGGAAAGAAACCAACCCTCAACAGTCGCCTATATGGATTTCCCAGATCGAACCAGAAACAAGAACACCCACCCCTAAGGGAACAGGATAAGGGAGAAGGGACGGGACTACTCCAACCCGTTAAACCCAACCCCAGGCGTACGTACTTTTTCAACAAAAGCTGACGGCTCTTGGCCATCTTGAGCCATAAAGGATTTCCGGGTACATTGACCCTTCCAACACCCAACACTAACTCCTTTCTACAATACCAGTTGCAGCTCCGCACTCCCCCTGTCCTAGGATTTCCTAGGACACATTGGAGGTGCAGATCTTTTGGCCAAAAACTGCCATTAAGGCAGCAGCCAGCTGCTTGAAATGCACAATATGGTTTTACGTCATCCAGGACGAAATTATAGCACATTGGCTAAACCCACTAACCACAGAGAATCTTTTTTCCACCATGATCCTCTTTATCATTGAAGACTCTTCGGCCTTCTTCACCACAAACCGTGGTCTTCGCTACGCGAAAAACTACTGACTTCTACTATCAGGGATTTCCATACCCTTAATAGTAACCACCACATTGGCAGCACATTGGCTGTTCCAGCGCACCTGTCTCCAGAAAGAGAAAAACCATCCCTTCATCCATACCATCCAATCACTTCTTTTTCCGATTGCTGGCAATTCTGAGGTGAAGTTGCAGCAGAATATACTCCAGGTCCGAAACTGTAAGAACAGGATCCTGCACGCACCTTTGTATTGAGGATACCAATCCTTCTCTCTTTGCGTCCTCAATCGCTTGGCAAGATTGACCCAGCTCTGCATTCACAGTGGTAGACGCTGGTGCATCCACATCAGATGGACGATCCTTTTCCTCAGGACCTTGCACCATTACCACCTCTTCCTTTTTGGGACTCTGACTTTTCTCCTTCTTCTTCGTCTTTCCACCGACGTTTGACTTTGTGCGCATTTTCGAGGCTTTTTCCCCTGCAGAAACCACCGCATTGGATGATGATCCACCCCTCTCAATGTTCGCCGGCATCTTCTTCGGCTTTGGAACCAAGAGAGTATAAGGATCTTCGATAACTGCAGCTTTCCTCTTCTTTTTGACCTTTTTCATCTCTTCCTCAACGGCAACCTCCGTCTCCGAAGTCTCAACCACCTCCTTTTCGGCAGGAATATCCTTGCTGGACTCCCTTTCTAGGGACCTCTTTTTCCCCCTTTTGGGATCTTTCTCTTCTCCCACGTTGGCACGCTCGAACCATATCCTCAGGTCATTGACCCATTCTTCCACCTCTGCGAGCGAAACGTCATACGACTTCACTACTTCGTGAAGGTCCAGCACGGACAGCATACCAGTGGTCCACGAAACCCATTCTCTATCCATCTGGTCAGTATCTCCATTGAACTTCAGGAGTTTGAACAATGGGTCCGCCTCTGCTCGAGCCAAATCTGGCTTGCCATCGGACAGAAGTGAAATCGCCTCCATCAACAGTTCCGTCATTTTGGTATCATCGTCATAACCCATAAAATCCTCCTCACCATCATCGAACTGTTCAGGAGAAATCTCCTTTTCTCCACCTTTTGCACCAGAACTTCTCCTTGGACCATCCCTTGGGGGCGTCCTTGGAGACCTTGGCCTCTGTTCTTCCAGCGGATCACCATGCTCGAAGACACACCTGTCACCATATCGACACTTCCCAGACTGAGCAAACTGGATGCACCTCACACCAGTTGCATCGTGCGAGAACGCACACTCCTTTCCAGCGAAACAGTCTCTCCCCGCCACATAGTATTTGCACCATGCAATACGAATGCAGCACCACATCATCTTCTGAATGGATGAATTTGCAGTTTTCACCAAATTTGCAGCGATCTTTTCCCTTGCTGAACCAATAGCAGAAGCCTTTCTTCCTCTTCTCCAAGCGCTCTGCCTCGTACCGGTCCATAGGGCGATTCTGCTCTACATGAACATTGCCATGTACCTGAGAACTGCTCCCTTCACCCAAGGTGCTATCAGTATTTGATGCTTGGAGTACAGCTGGAAAACCTGGCCTTGGTCCTACCACCTTCATGTTTGGTTTTCCGGCAGCTCCTGAGCCATGCTGAGACGATCCAAAAACATTGAACATCTTCATGAAGGCCTTTCTAGCGCCGATCTTCTGCACCCTTTTGGTTGGACGTTTCATTGCTCCAACCTTGCATCCAGATGCGTTCAAACGACACAACCTCCTATACCCAGCTCTATATCCCTTCTTCCAAAGAGCCATAAGAATTCTAGAGGCAGTAACATTCTCCACCTCTACCTTTTCCAACGGTCCCTCACTTCCCGGAACAAACCCATCCAACCCATCCATATCTGAAGACCTTTCCATCTTTTTTGACACCACTTCGTCGAGGTAGTCTTCCGAGATCCAGGGTAAGTTCCTCTTAGAGGAAGGATCGTCACCATTGTTTGGTCCTTCACCAGGATACCCTTTTGTGCTGTCAAAGATCTTACCAGTAGTGCGGTCCTGCGTAGAGAAATTGGAAGCAACGCGGGAGTACACTGACCACAAGAAAATCCTTGTGTCCGCCAGTCTTGATGACCCACTTGATGTCTCCTCTTCCGGAGAAACTTCTGGCGCTTTGCCGTCCCTTCCAGTGTCACCAATTGTCTCACCTCCAGCATCTTCAATGGGGATAAGGGATTCATTGTTCCCTTGATCAAGTACCGCAACCTCCTGTCCAAGAACTTCCAGCACCGCTGTCGAAGGATCCACTTCTTCATCAGCATCGTCGTCCATCCTTTTCCAGAGAACCTCCAATTGATCAGCGCAAGTCGCCGCCTGAAGAAACTCCATCAACTGGGCCCTCCCGCGCTGCCAGAGAAATTCCGAAACCATCACTGACCCTTGGGCTCCGAGGGTAAGGAACGGATGAACCAATTTGGCTACCCTCGCCATAAGTTCAATGTGAACTTCCATGCCTGGACTGCGACTCCAATCATAGGCAATTGCCTCCATAGCAGTTCCAAACTTATCAGTATTTTTGAACTCCCCTTCCAGACCAGGAGATAGCAATGCACCCATCACCGAAAGAGGATAATTTCCCACCGCCGGCAAGCACGGATTGTCATGGAACGAATGATGCAAATCACCATAGTATCCTTGATCTCTCCTTTGAAAAAGGAGTGCTCCAGTCCCTAGCTGGGCATTCATTTCATCCACTTGAACCATTTCAGCACATATCCTCTGTGCCATAGCCGCTATTGCTGGCCAGACGGAACGATCGGTCAGACCGCGACGCATAACCCAATCAGTTGTTGGCGACTGAATCAGCGTTCCTGGATCATACACCATAACCACCATCGCACCATCACCCATTGACTGATCAGCATCGTCCTCCAGTGCCAGGTTCTCATCCTGTTCGCTTGCACCCTCGGATGACACGCTAATAACCAAATTTCGATCCATCTTATTGGACCCCTTCTGGCAGTCTCTTTGCCCCACAGGCAACTTGCCAACAGCAACCTTCCAATAAATCCGAGTCAGAAGGCCTTTAACCAGCAATTGCTGAGGATCCTTCTTCACCGGACGAACATCCAATGTCTTCGCACCATCACCACGGAGTTCATTGCTCCACCCTTCTCCTTCTTTTTGGTCAGTCTCCTCGCCAGAAATTTGCACTGCTCCTTCCAGCGCCGTCTCCTGTCCAGCCACTTCTTGCCCAGGAAGAACTTGAGCGCTTTCAGATACATTCACCTGTCCAGCAACACCTTGCCCAGGTAAAACCTCATCCGTGGAGCCCACCGCCAGCGAACCAACTATAACTGAGCCATCCCTTGCTCTTTTTTGAGACTGTTCAGTTCGACGAGAAGGTTGTGGTAGCGAAAAAACTTGTAAAGTCACTTCTTGGCGGGTCTCCCCCCGCGACGCTTTGTCGCGCCCTTCGCCAAGGTGAACCGATTTTTTCTGCCCGTCATTGGGGCCTGAAGAACCACCCAGCGGAACATTGCCACGAATCGCAGTTCTCTGTGCATCCCTTTCTTGCAAAAAGATTTCCCTCATACGTTGCGCGGCATTGGTCTCCTCCTCGCTTGAATCGCTTGAGGAAGCGGCATAAGAGACCAAAGCCTCCGCCTGATCATCATCATCCACCACATCTGCCCACGCTCTGCTGAACCGATACGACAACCCACCACGAGGCTTCAGTTCCAGTGGCTTTGGCTTTTCCACCACTTCCGCCGGTTGCACTCGTCGTTGTGAACGAGAGCGTGGCACCTGTCGCACCTGTTTTTTATCCAGCAAGGGCCTTCCCCTTCTTACAGGGTTTGATCTTGACCGATATTTTTTTGTTGGCGGGTTCACCGGCGGCGTTCCAACTCCCACCAACTGCAGCTTCTGTACGCACAGCGGAGACCTCTGCGCAAGCGTCCAAGCATCACGGCACCTGACCTTATCAAAAAGCTCCCGATAGGAGCCTCTCGGCATTGTTTTTGCACCGGAGCCTTCAGCTTCACGCACCTGAGTGAGGGTTCGCACCGCCTCTCTTCCAGTTTCCTTGCTCGCTGGAGCTCAACATCTGGATCGGGAAGAAAATGGAAGCGCTTTCTGAGGGTGTGGCAGCGGTGGAATCGGTGGGTCCAGAAGAAAAAATGCCCAATGTGGAGATCGGAACTGTGTCGGCTGCAGAAGAGCGAGTGGTGGATGTGGTACCTGTCGTTCAGGAAGGTGGTCCTGGAGATTCGGAAGACGGAGGGAAAAAGTTGTGTGTTACGACTGAGGAGGTCTCTTCGTTTGGTGCCAAGAATCCTGCCATTCAATGGGAAAAAGAAGCTTCTGGAATAGCTGGAGACACGGAAGATCTGAAAGATGAGGCCTGGAGCGCCAATGATGCGCGGGTCAATGCGCCAGATAGTACCTGGAGTGCGAAAGAGGCACGGGTTGAGGTGCATATGGTGTCACGTTCCACGGGCGACTGCAACAATGGGGCGCAGGTCTCCGCAGCAGCTGATGATGGAGGTTCACAGGTGGACGCACTGGTGCAACCTGAAGTTAGCCGCGAGGAACGAAATGGCAAGGGCTACACCGGAGCCGATGAGGCAGCTGTGGTCAATGATGGTGGCAATTCTCCTTTGGAAACCATGGAACCAAAGGAGCCTGCGGTGGAAGAAAATGTACCTGCCGTGGATGAGCAATTAAATCGCCCTGCAGTGGAAGAAAATTTGCCTGCTGCAGAAGGTGTGACAAAAGACTCCAATGATGGGTCCACTCCCATGAAGGGAGAAGTATTGCCGTCTGGAAGCTCGCCGGAAGTCGACACCGAGCGAACTGCAGCAGATGAGGCAAGGCCATTGGCTGGAAAAAAGGAAGGTCCTGAGCCCCTGGAGCACAAGATGGATGATCTTGTGGGACTCGTGCAGGAGCCGGACGAGCAGTGTGACCCAAAGGTGGAAACAAAGGATGTGCCAGGAGCCGATGATACAGAGATGGTTTCTGAAGAGCATGCAAAGAAAGTGCCCCGAGCGGGAGCCTTGGAATCACCTGGGGAACATTGCTACCAAGAGGGAGATGAGATCATGGGTCTAGTGCGCTGCATCAATGGGTATGGAGCTTTTTTGGACCATGGTGATGTGAATGTGTTGATTCCTGCAGAAGGGAACAACGCATATCAGTTCAAATTTGGTGATACTGTCAATGGAACAGTGAAGCGAGTGGAAGATGATGGTACCATAATCTTGGACACCTTTCTGGTTTTGGAAGAGGACGAGGAGGACTCTTCTTCGACGCTGCGTAAATGGAAACCCAGCGGCTGGAGTACGTGGTGGACAGATTCATGGTATGCTGGTCAATGGTACCAAGATTCCAACAGTCAATGGGACTGGAAACGGGAGGAAGAGCAATCCGATGAAAAGGTTGCTGATCAAGAGTTATCCTCAGAAGAAAAAGAGGAAAGGCAACTTTATGGAGAAAAGATCTATAAAGCTCTTCTTGAGGATGGAAACGAAGATCAGGCCTATGTGGGCAAAATCACTGGGATGCTGTTGGGTCGCCCAATGGAAGATCTACAGGAGTGTGTTGCAGATCAATCATTCCTGAACGCGGAAGCTCGGCGCGCCTATGGCATCTTGCAAAGTGATGGTTGGGAACCTGATGGTACGGAAAGCACAGGTTTGGGAAAGATATCCACTTTTCCCCGAAAACAGTACCACAACGCGCTCTTCGAACTGGCATGCAGAAAAAGGAGATTTACTCGACCAGTTGTGGGTGAAGCGGTGGCAATGGTGCTGAGTCAAGGGGAAGATGAGCTTTGGAACGCGCTTTGGTTGGACACCAAGCGATTTTTGCAGGAGCTTGATGGTGCAGTGCAATCCATGAGTAAAAGGGAGGGTAGGCCAATGGAAGCCTACATGGATCCTGACCAGTACAAAAAGGCTCACATGACTCCACAGACTGTGTCACCTGGATACAGCAAGCTGTGCAAGTTCTTCAATCGGGGAAGGTGTCGCAATGGTGATGGATGTCCCTATGAGCATCGTCGTTATGGTGAAGGTTGGCCAGGAGAAGGATCAACTGAGCCAAAGAACAGCCAAGAAGCTGGTGATGAGGATGGGAACATTGGTGACCCTCCCACAGAGGAAGGCGCAGTGGATGAGGCACAGCAGGAGCGGGAGGATTTAGCCTTCCGGGCCAAGTACAACTTTGGTAAAGGTGCATCAAAGGGTGAACCTACGTCGGGTGAGCCAAAAGGTCGGCTGTGTCTGTATTACAATCAAGGTGGTTGTAAATATGGGACTACATGCAGGTATCTTCACAACGATGACATAGCATTGGAAGGGACTTGGGAGCCCGGCAAATCTTGGGACAATGCTTCCAGGAAGGCACTAAGGGACGCGGGGTTCCACCATTGCTGTTTCGATTATTACATCAGAGGACGTTGCCGGAAAGGGTCAAATTTCTGCAAGTACTCCCACGACGAGATGTCTGATGAGCGGCTGACTAACCTGAAACACCTGGTACAGGTGGCCAATCAGGTCCGGTTTGAAAAAGAGAGAGGATGGGAGATTTCGGACAGGAGCACTTTTCAGCCACCTGCGAGTGGGGGAGCTGAATCTTCATCATCCTCGGCACCAAAAGCGCTGCAAATGACCAATGTGTCACAAAAAGAAGGTGAAAAAGGGATCCTGGATGAAGCAGAAGAAGATGAACAAAAGAATTCGGTGGCGCAGTCCACTGGTACTCGGCTTCAAAATCCAGAGGAGCCAATTGAAAATTGGATGGCTCGCAACGAACACCTTTGGGTGTATACCCCTCATGTAAGTGAGGTGATGATTACACTTGGTGTGACCAACGTGTCGGACCTGCAAGAGTTCATCTTTGTGGAAGATTTGGTTGATAAAGGGATCAACAAAGTGACAGCATGCAAAATTCTGCAATTGGTTGGTGGTGTCCGATATCGTCCGGGAGGACTGGAAAAAGCAGTTCCTTCCGATGCATCTGTACGGGTACAACAATCGTCTGCTCGGTTTCCAGGAATCCCCTCCTCATCAGGAGAACCCGAGGTCGGGGCGTCACCACCAGCCCTAAGACCGCTATCCCTGATAGTAGAGGAAAAATCTTTTTCACCTACACTATTTACACTACCCTGGAATGCCCTCGTGGACTCAGGCGTCGGAGTAGAGGACGAAGAACCCAGTGCAGCCTCCATTTCCAGCTCATTGCCCGAAGGAGACCCAACCACCTCGTCACTCTTCATCTTTTCACCTACTACCGGCAACGTCCACTTGCTTTCCTGCGTATCCAGGCAGTAGTAATATTGTCTCCCATCTTCGTGGAAGTGCCATTCCCACGTTGTCCCATCGCACGCTTTGATCAGATGCTCATCTTTCCGAAAACCATCCCTTTCAGAGACTTGACGCATCTCATCCTCTTCTTCTGACAACTGGCGCAACCTTTCAGCCTCCATCTGTAAGATCTCCTCCTCCCCCATGGCGTATTCAGCAGTTGGTGCAGCTTCAAAGCTGTCCGCACCCTTCTGTTCGTAACCGCTTCCACCACCTTGGGAACTCGCAGAGGGATCCCCTTTAATCTTGTTCAGAGGCCTCCTGGCCGCTTGCAGCACCTCTCCAACCAGATCGGTCTGAGACCCTTGGTCTACCATTCGGCCCGAAGTCGAAGTCGACGGCTGATACCCATGTTTTTGCAACACGCGTAAAACAGTCACCTCCATTTCACGATCTATACCACCAGTCGCGTCCCAGTTCCTTTTTTCACCAGGCTTTGGCGATACAGAGACAGCACGTCCTTCAGCTTCAGCATTGCTAACCATATCCACATTTGGATTCATACCCACATTGGGGTCTTCTGCAACCAAGGCTTCTTCCAGATGTTCTTCAGCGCCGGGCATCACCTCTTCCAACACCGCTCTTTTACCCAGAGACTCAGCTGCACCATTTCCAGCTCCACCATTCTGTCCACCATCCGAGGAAGGTTGGAGCCATCGCTTGGGAGAAGGCATTGCTTCTTGATCCCAAAGATCTTAAGACAACACTCAACCGCAGGGAACCTAATTTGGGCTCATAACCTACGGGGGCAACCGAAAGGGAACAGGGAAAGAAACCAACCCTCAACAGTCGCCTATATGGATTTCCCAGATCGAACCAGAAACAAGAACACCCACCCCTAAGGGAACAGGATAAGGGAGAAGGGACGGGACTACTCCAACCCGTTAAACCCAACCCCAGGCGTACGTACTTTTTCAACAAAAGCTGACGGCTCTTGGCCATCTTGAGCCATAAAGGATTTCCGGGTACGTTGGCCCTTCCAACACCCAACACTAACTCCTTTCTACAATACCAGTTGCAGCTCCGCATAGGGTTTAGGGCGTAGGGCTTTGGGGTCCAGGGTTTGGGGTTCAAGAGTTAGGGGTTTGGGGTTCAGGGTTTGAGGGTTTGGGGTGTCAGGGAACCCCGGGAAATCCAGGTACAGAATTTCGAAGCCCTCAGCCCTTCAGCACAGGACCTCAACCTCAACCTCTTAAATCCTAAACCCCAAACTCTGTGCCACCCCAAACCCGAAACCCTACACTGGCCCTACACCTCAAACCCTGAACCCTAAACCCTAAACCCCAAACCCTAAACCCCAAACCCTTGTAGACGCGTTGGGGCCTGAGGGCCCAAAGATGATGGCGTTCCACTGGAAGAGGTCGTCACCCACCTTCAGGTCGAGACTTTGGAGTGGGCTGGGGGAACTCTGGGTTTAGGGTTTAGGGCTAGGGTTTAGGGCTTAGGGTTCTTCTGAGATCCTGTACATGATAAGGGTACTTGAGGGTTCGGGGTTAAGGGCTTAGGGTTGAGGGGTTTCAGGGTTTAGGGCTTAGGGATTTTAGGGTTGAGGGCATTAAGGGTTGAAGGGTTTACAGTCCCACGCTGAGGGGTTGAAGGCTACCGCCACCCCCTCCCCCCTCTGACCCAAAGCAGGCTCACGTCGTCAATTTCGAGCAGGGGCGTTGGTTAGGGTGCGGAAGCTTTCTAGGGGCGGGGGGGGGGGGGGTGGAGTGAAACAATCAAGGAAGCAGAAGCAAAAAGGAATTCCCGCGACCTCATCAATTCTCTCACAGCATTGCTAATAAACTCATACTCTAGCTCATGCGTGAGAGGTCTCTGTCCAAACCCTTCAGGTGCCCGCAACAAGGAAAGCAACGGTGAAAACTGGACAGGCCCTAAACCCTAAGCCCTAAACCCTAAACCGAACAGCCATGGCTAAAACCCCTGTTCCTCCCCGCCAAACCTAGACCCGAAACCTTGAAATCGCAGCTTGGGCCCGCGCTGGGGCTGCAGACACCCCGATCGGCGCATCAGCCGTCACCTTCGGATGGTTGCGCACTAGGGTCCAGGGCTGTTTCATTGTCAGGGCTGGCCTCTCTCGCTCCCTCTCTTCTTCTTCTTCTTCTCCTCCACGCTTGAGAGGACCCCCCGAGGGCGTCCCAAGTCGCGGGAGTTTGGTTTGCAAGCTTGCTTCGATGTTTTTAAAGTTGCGGCGTTAGGGTTTAAGCTGGGGTTGGGGGTAGCCTCGGCCCTTGTCGGGCCTTCGGCGTGTCAGGGCCCGTAGAGGCCCTTTTTTATTTGAAGGTCAGGGAAACCCTTTGTGCCGGCTCCTGGATTCCCTTTCTTTAAGGGCCTCAAGCCTTTTGGTGGCTCTTGGGCCTTTTGGGGGCTTCCTGGGAGGCTTTCCTGGCCCTTCCGGGTAAAATGAAGGGGTGCCCAAAACCATCGATTTCAGTACAAAAAATCGCATTTTTCATTGCGGGTACGGGCATCCTGGGGTCCTTCTTTTAGGGGGCCTTTTGAAGCCTTTTGAAGCCTTTTTGGTGGCTCTTGGGGTCTCTCGGGGCTTGCTGGGGCTTTTTTGGACCTTTTGGGGGCCTTGTGGGGTAGCATTTTTCATTGCGGGTATGGGCAAATGCTAGGGTTACGATTTGGGGTTATACTTTAATTTAGCTACGCTAAAGGTGGTCTGGGTGCCGGCCATCCCTTAGCCGAGTACTGACGTTGTCGTAAAAAAGGCCGATGTCCGTTGGCCTGTCCAGGACAGACGGTGAGGCTTAACCCTCACCTTTCCGTTTCTCTTTTCGCTTGGGCGCTCGGGCTGTAAGGCCCTCGGCCGAGCGTTCGGGGTCTGTCGCTCGACGGAAGCGACCCCTCTCTTAGTTTAGGGATTAGGGTTTAGGGTTTAGGGTTTAGGGTTTATAGAAATTGTATAGGGTTTGGGTCCCAAGAAGTTTTGACCGAAAGTTTTGACCGAAACGTTTTGTTTTTTAAAATGTGCCGTTTTGCCCCCCTCCTGGAAGAGGGGGCGTTGGGGGGGGGGGGGGTGGGGGGCGGCGTGGGGAGGGGGGAGGGGGCAACAAACGACCCCACGAGGCGGTGCACGCAGCGCCCGGGGATGTGGAGAAGCAGCCAGCCACCACCGAAGTTCGACGCCCTGACCAGGAGCCGGCAGCGACGGCTGCCCCACCAATGCGAGGAGCTTCCAACCCCAGTACGGGGCTGCCAAGGATCTGGGCTCTTATAACTCCATGGTGGTTCGCGCCACTGATGGCTCGGAGACCCTGCACGCCTTGCCCGTGCCTCGCGGAAGCGCGGAGCCTCAAGCGCGACTCACCCGCCCGCCTGTGCCCTTGGCTGTCAGGCAGCTGCGGGACTTCAACCCGGGACCCATTGCCCGCCATGAGGTTCTTTTTCATGCATGACAAATGAGCTCTGAGAAAAATCTGGTTCGCCTGCTGAATATGCACCTTCCTCGCCTAAATCTCGCGAGAGGGCATTTTGCAGCGTAGCCCTTAACATCCCGTAACGCCCGGTCTGGCAAGGATGTCCCACTGATCCGAAAACAAAGAAATTTCCCAAACAAAGTGTGGTGACATTTCGGGTTCTTGTACATGTTTAGTTATGTATTTACTACGGTACAGAAGATGTTGATGCTGCCGGCACGCGGGTGCCATGCTCGATCCGGACCGGAATCGCGCTCCCGCCACAGCCCCGCTGCTGTGACGGCGCAGGTGGTGCATCGAGGGCGGCAAACTCAATGAGTAAATTACAGCACTTCGGCGCCTCGTAATGTGTTTATATCGTGCTGTCGCCACAAGGTGTCACGGCGCCGTGCACGTTTTAGGTCCCATATTCGTTGCAGTATTAATCGGTTCCTCGGAGCTATTGCTGGCGTCGTCCAAATTGCAGTATGCGGGATTTCGGGGGCTCAGCGCCCGCGCAATCTGGCCAGGGCACACTGTTGCGACGGGTCATGAGAGAAAGGTCCTCAACTTGTGCTTGCTTCATGGTCTCTGGTCCCTGACTGTTCGGGGGCGCAAAACCTATTGGAACTCCGGAGATGGATCCTTGCACTGCCAGGGGGGGGTGGGGAGGGGGGAGGGGGAGAGGGGGGGGAGAGGGGAGGAGGGGGGGGGGGGGGGGGGGAGGGCGAGGGTGACCTCAAACAAAATGACCTCAGGCGAGAATTTTTAAAAATTCAGAATGATACCACATACAAAGGAAAAAGGGGGAAAAAAGGGGAGGGCGAGGTTTAAGTAAATTGAGCATTCGGCCTCAGACTTATACTCGGCCTGTCAGCTGTGTTGACAAATAACTTGAAAATTCAGAATGATTTCACATACAATATTTATTTATTTTGTTTTCAGGGTTTAGGGTTTAGGGTTTGGGGTCTGGGGTTTTGGGCTTAGGGTTTTGGGTTCGGGTTTAGGGTCTACGGTTCAGTCTACACCCCACCTTCTTGAAGTCGCGTAGCAATCGGCGCTGCGCGTTCCTCGGTTAAGCTGGGTTAATAAGTTGGGTTCTGGGGAGTATGAATAAGGTTTCTAGGGGATACTACGTAGACTTACTGAGTCACATGGGCTTCCAAGTAAGACTGGGTGGTGTTGAGGGTTTCGTGCTTGAGGGCTCCGGACTGCAGGTTTACGTAGCTGCAGCTTGAGAAGCTTTCATGTTGTCACGAAGGACCTCAGGGTTTGCAAGGGATTCCTTGACTACTTTCCTGAAAAACCCCGAACAATAAAGAAGAACCATCCCTATTATTACCCTTAAATTGAAGAATATCTTACTTCTTCGGGGGGGTTCTTAAGCAATTCGTAGTTGAAGGACGTAAGGCAGGTGCAGCTTGAAAGCGGAGTCAGTTGAAGGGTGGTGGGCTCGGAGGATGCTCAGGGGCTTAGAAGGATGCTTAGGATGTAGGGTTTAGGGTTTAGGGTTGAGGGTTTAGGGGCCCAAAACCGTTCTGAGTTCGGGCATTCGGGTTCTAGGGTTCAGTGTTCTTGGTGCATTATTTTATTGGCTTAGAAGTTTAGGGTTTTAGGGCTTTGGGTTTGTTACTTAGGGTGGAAGATTCCTACCAGGGTTCTGAGCTTAGTCACATCCAGCTTCTTGGCCCCCCCTAAAGCTGTGCCCTTCTGGTTGGGGACTCTTTACATAGGGTTTAGGGTTTAGGATTTAGGGTTCCCATACGTTCCCTTGACGGGGCCGGGGCCACAAGAATCAGGATTCGAGCTTCTCGGGGCCCCCTGAACCCCCGAACCCCTTCACAGGGGCCCGAAGCCCTCAAAAAACCCTAAGCCGAATCTCTCTCTGGAACCCTAAGCCCCATAACCCTAAACCCTAAACCCTAAACCCTAAACCCTAAACCCTAAACCCTAAACCCTAAACCCTAAACCCTAGCCCTAAACCCCAAACCCTAAACCCTATAACCCCCTAACCCCCTTAGGGTACAAGTGCTGATTCCGTGGTTTGATCTGCCGTGCGTCGGCGGCGTCGTCGCCATGCCCCGTGTCAGTCCCTGGTCGCTGACACTCAGGCCAAATTTTTAGGGTTTAGGGTTTAGGGTTAAGGTTTAGGGTTTAGGGTTTAGGGTTTAGGGTTTAGGGTTTAGGGTTTAGGGTTTAGGGTTTAGGGTTTAGGGTTTAGGGTCTAGGGTTTAGGGTTTAGGGGAATCATTCCGGAAATGTCCACATCTCGAAGAAAAGAAAAATCAGTAGCATCTCAGGGACTCGTTCAAACAGGTCAACAGTAGAACCAAAACAACACTTTAGCTGCCCTACTGTGAAGGGTGTAGGGTTTAGCGTTCAGGGTTCCTAAACCCTAAACCCTAAACCCTAAACCCTAAACCCTAAACCCTAAACCCTAAACACTAAACCCTAAACCCTAAACCCTAACTCTTCGCCCTTGGTTGGAATCCAACTTGGAGGCTGTTCGGGTGGGTCGGAGTTTGGGGATCGGTGCTTCCGGTGCAGGAATTGCTCCCGATCCTTTAAGCTAAACCCTAAACCCTAAACCCTAAACCCTAAACCCTCGACCCAAGAGTAATCTTGGTCTAGAAAGGGGTGCCCTTTTGCTTTCAAGGTGCTTAGAAGGGAACCTGAACCCCCCCCCCCTCCCCCCACAAAAAAAGGGAACCAGGGCCTACTCGGGGTCCTAGTAGGGGTTTGATGGGGTGTTGTGTAAATTTGGCTGGACTCCCGCCATGTGGGTTTTTGCGGCCCTGGGGGATTTTACAGTAGGGCCCAGCACGAAATCCTTGACCCTAATCGAGAAAAGAGAGTCCTCAAGCCCTGTACTCGCATTTCTTCAGTCCCCCCCCCCCCCCCCCCTCCCCAAGAAAGCCTGAACATTGCAGTGCGGAATTTGCCCAACTCCCAAACTTCCCATGAAGAGCCCTGAGCCCTAAAACCCTGTGAAGTCTCTAAACCCTAAACCCTAAACCCTAAACCCTAAACCCTAAACCCTAAACCCTAAACCCCCCAAGCGGAAGGATGCTTCATGTCCTGGCGCCTGGCCCAAGCAGTTGGCGAAGGCTGCGGTCGGCACAGCAGCGACCAGGCGCTCAAGCCCTTGAACCCCTTTTTGGCGCCTAAACCCTAAACCCTAAACCCTAAACCCTAAACCCTAAACCCTAAACCCTAAACCCTAAACCCTAAACCCTAAACCCCCTAAATCCTCAACTCTAAATCCCTGGTCTTGGTTCCGAGCCGTTTCCTACCTCTGCCCTAACCCACCTGTGGGCGTGAACCTGCGAGCAGTGATTCGGAAAAAACCCTCAGTCCTGACAGCCCCTAAGCACTGGAACCTCCTTCCTCAGGTGCTTGTAAGCTACGGGAGTTCGGCTTTGAGCCTCAGAGCAGAAAGGTGGACGGTGGCATTCGATGCGCACTGTGGGCTGCAACCCTAAACCCTAAACCCTAAACCCTAAACCCTAAACCCTAAACCCTAAACCCTAAACCCTAAACCCTAAACCCTAAACCCTAAACCCTAAACCCCTAACACATAAGCCCTAAACCCTGAACCCTAAACCCTAAACCATCCTCCTTGCGAGCTACGTCTGCGGCACATCCGGCGAAGCTGAGTAGTTTTCAGCTAGTACTTGGAGGTTCCTCTCCAACCAGAAAAGTCCTCGAAGCGCAAACAAGTCGAAGGTAGGCCAAGAGTGCACCGCCGCCTGTTTACGAAGAGAAGCACGACGGAAGAACGACTCCTAGGAACAACTGCCAGGTTGCTCCCCAACCATTTATTGGTTCCCTGTTGCTGATAAGAGAGTGCAACCTCCAAGAAAACGGAATAGGGGCACCCCTGGGCTGTTTATATTCTTTGTGAATCCGCAGTTGAAGTATCCTTTTTGAACCGGGTCATGCCTGTTAAGCTTCCTACCGTTACCCGACCGCACTATCCGGAAACTGCCGCCATTCTACCACCAAAAGGTGCTCCGAAGTTGTGGGATTTCATAGGCTTTACCTGTATGTAGGGTTGTGCAGCTCATCGGCATCGGACAACACATGCTTTTTCAAGAGAATGCGCGGCGGTTTTCGCGGCATCCCGAATGCCATGGCCTGATCCTGGTTCGCTTGTCTACTCATTGCTTAAGAACCCCCAAAGAACAAAATATTCTTCCCTTTAAGGGTGTTCTACTACTAATTGCTGAAGAACCCCGAACAAATTAAATATTCGGGATTATTAAGTTTTAAGTTATTTTGGGGTTCTTAAGCAAATAGTAGTTGTGTGTGGGTCTTCCGGCTTAAAATTGTATTTCGGACATCTGATGTCTCACAGTTCAGGGTACGAGGAGTGAGTCGTATGCAAACATCGCCCTCCCGGAAATGCCCATTTCGGAACTGTCGAAGTTGCTGGACGCTTTTGGCCTCCGGGCTTTAGAACTTTTGAAACGCCCAGACAGGCCTAGTCACATCCTTGCAGCAGAGACCCAGCCGCATCTTGCAAGGGCAAGGAAGGTTGGGACGACTTCCACAAGATCTGCGAGGGGTCAGTCAGCAAGCAATTCAGAGAGTTGAGGCCTTTACGGAGCCACATACAGACATCAAGTTTTTACAATTGGGGTACATTGGCTTGCTTTCAAGAGAATCTGTGGGTAACACTAAACGCCTAAACCCTCAACCCTCATTGGCCATTCTAAAGCCCCCGTCGTATAGCATAGGGCCTTAACAATTAGAATAGGGTTTAGGGGGGGTATTTAGAGTACAAGAAGAAAGGGAGCATAAGGGAATACTACTAGTAATTGCTCCGACCCCTCCCCTAAACCCTAAACCCTAAACCCTAAGCCCGAAGCCCTAAACCTCCATTACGTGCTCATGTCTGCTCAAAAGGCACGTTGGCAAACCCCCCAGCGCTGCTTCATCGGCTCATGGATGGCTGGTGTCCATCCGCAGGTTTAGGGTTTAGGGTGGGTTCGGGGTTTAGGGTTTAGGGTTTAGGGTTTAGGGTTTAGGGTTTAGGGTTTAGGGGGGTTTAGTCAAGAGGGTCAGACTCACACCCCCTGGAGGTTGTACCCTTAAAGGCTTCCCTGAATGTACTCTGAACATTTCCCGGTTTTCTCTTAGAGGACCTTTTAAAACAAGGGTCCCCAAATCCAAGGGTACAACCTTAAGGGGTCCAAGTTCGAGTCCCTTGAGCTAGGTTTTATGAGTATAAGGAAGCTACTTGCTATATGTCTACTTTATGGTACAGTGGCACATCCCTACTGTAACATGAAGATTCCCAAGGGCCTACCTTTGGTTACCCTAAATATTCGGTGCCGTATTATATTAGGGATCCAAAAAGAGACCAGGAATTTTACAACCACCCTCTTGTGTTTCAGTTCTTTCAACAGCAACCAGTCATCGGCCACCCACGCCAGCGGCTCAGTTGCGGCGGAGGGCCGGCGATGGAGCACTGGCCTGAAATTTTTAGGGGTGTAGTCTCCGAAACCCTAAACCCTAAACCCTTTTGCAAAAACCCTAAACCCTAAACCCTAAACCCCAAACCCTAAACCAGGTGAATATCCCGCCGGATACAGAAGACAGGGGCTTTGGGGTAACTTCTCAGGGGTGAACCTTAAGACTAGCCGATGATTGTAATGTTAGGAAAGGTGTGGACAGAGTGAACGCAGTGCATTATAAGTTAACACATGAATGCAGAAGTGAGCACACACTGAGGCCCTTTACCATTGTTATATTGTGAGCCCGCAGTAGTATTAATATTTAGAACACACGGTAAGTGAACAAGTGTACGAAATGAACGCACGCGTGCCGGGACATTATAATTATGAATATTAACACGAAGAGAATACAGTTAATTTACTGAACGAAGTGAGACGTGAACTAATGTATGAACGAAGTGAACTACAATATCGGCGCAATAAGAGAATCAATGAGTGCAGTCTTCGTTCTCACACACACACACACACACACGAATATTATCAGTACGCGCTCACAATATCATTCGTCCCTGGAGCCCGAGAAACAAACACACCCCGGGGTCCGTTCGCAAATTTGGGGCCGAAGACAAAGCCTCACACATCCCTTCAGAACCCACAGAAGACACAAGGAACAAATAAGCCCACTGTAGCCCCAACAGCAAAGAAGACGAAAGATGCTTCAACCCCGGCCTCCCAAAAAAACCGAATGCGATGCTTTCATGTATTAGTTCCCGGGCTTTTGGGAATTACAAAAGACCACAAAGAATCAACTTGACTCCAAGCACCAAGCGCGGACCATGAAAAACCTCGAGAAAACAAGCGCGGACCTCCGTCCGGGCTTTTGGGAATTGGGGGGAAGGGTGGTTTCAAGCCAGTGTGCTTCTTAGGGTTCCGCTCCGGAACCTGCTCCGGAACTCGTTCTTGGTCCATGGAATCCGCTCCAGAACCTGCTCCGGAACCCCATCGCTTCGCTGTTGGGCAACAACGCCGCTCAAATCCTGCGCGGACCAGCGCGGACCCCTGGTTTTGTCGGGAGTTTGACTCCAAGCACCAACCCTAAACCCTAAACCCTAAACCCTAAACCCTAAACCCTAAACCCTAAACCCTAAACCCTAAACCCTAAACCCTAAAACCCTAAAACCCTAAACCCCACACACACACATCCTGGCGCGCCTGCCGGAGGTCGAAAGTGTCGAGGGCCGGTACAGAGTTGCCTGAGTTCTCCCCCTGGGGATGTTCCCCCCTTGTACTAAACCAGCTCGTAAGAGGGATTTTTCTAATAGGGTTTAGGGTTTTAGGGTTTAGGGTTTAGGGTTTAGGAACCAACACAAAGCCCAGAAAAGGTGAAAGGGCACAAAGCCCATGTTTCTTCTTAATTTTGACCTTGTTCTTCGTACTTTGCTTACTTAAGTCTACATCAAGAAATCTTCTAATCGCACACGCTCTCCTGAAAACACAACCCGTTTGGCTCAAGTTGCTCGCTGGCGGATACTCGCTC